ATTCAAAATACGGCTCTTTGATTCGTCATCAGTCCCTTCCCATGTGTCGTAGGGGTGCGATAGGGTAACAAAACCCCCTCCTTCTTCCAGGACAGCAGCTAGAATATGAAGAGAGAAGCCGGTCCTTTCTTTCAAGTCCCTCAAGCCTTCTCTTTGTGCGAAGTTCATTTTGTCGTAGAACATGTCCCGAAAACCTCATGTGACGCTCTGTCACAACCTCACATAGGATTTCCTTTTTTGTGACCCGATCTATATAACTGACTCCCAAAAATCTAAAGAGTCTTTTATTAAAATCACATATTGAAAACACTCACCCTGTTGGTCGAGTACTGTCTGGCAGACTTTTATCTCTTGGTCTTATTAAAGCTTTTGGGTCCATCTGAATGGGCGGACAGTACCCCCAGCCTACGCCCGGTGTTTGGAGAGGACGATTAGGTTGCGGAGGGCAGCACGTGTTGGCTCCCCCAGCCTGTCTGCAAGGGTCGCACCCACACGACATAGATATGGGCGTGGGAGCGGCTGGCCTGTGCTGCAGGCACCCACAGTTGGGACATGAGCAGCAGACGTCTGCAGAGGCGTCCGGTAGGTACATGGTCGGCTCTCTGGCTTGATGCCAAGGCTGAGACATTGTGGCGGAATTTTGTTGGGCGTAGCGCCCCTGTGTTGATAGGCCTATCTCTTGAGCAGCATTAACCGAGAGTGGCTGGCCGAATTCCGGTTGAAGTTCAAACCTTTTTCATAAATGACAAACCAGTTATTGTTTGCGGAATAAGTATAGATACATTGAAAAAAAAAATCATTAACTAGTTATTAGTAATTGATCATCATCGATCATTTTAATTTAAATTATCAAAAAATAATTATATACCATTAAAAAACAAATAAACAAATTATGTAAATATTTTTGAGATTGTGCATATTGGGCTGAATGACATAAGCGGGTTGCTTCTAGTAAGAATACCTATGGAAATTTTAAATTTGCCATTAACTTTAAAGACAGCATTGAACCCTCCCAAATCCTGAGGACAGCATTGAACCCTCCCAAATCCTGAGGACAGCACTAAACCCTCCCAAAGCCTGACGGCAGCACTAAACCCTTCCAAAGCCTGACGACACAATTGAACCCTCCCAAAGCCTGACGACAGCATTGATCCCTCCCAAAGCCTGACGGCAGCACTAAACCCTTCCAAAGCCTGACGACAGCATTGAACCCTCCCAAAGCCTGACGACAGAAATGATCCCTTCCAAAGCCTGACGACAGCATTGAACCCTCCCAAAGCTTGACGACAACATTGAACCCTCCCAAAGCTTGATGATAACATTGAACCCTCCCAAAGCCGGACGACAGAATTGATCCCTCCCAAAGCCAGACGACAGCATTGAACCCTCCCAAAGCTTGACGACAACATTGAACCCTCCAAAAACCTGACGACAGCACTGAAACCTCCTAAATTTGCCCTAACCCCACATGTCAACAAACAGTCTTGGATCAGATAAAACTTCAATTGCTAAACTAGTACGAAGAGAATAAATTGAGATTAAATAGACCAAGTTTGACTGGGGTTCGAACTTGGACACTTACAACTCATAGGTCAGGGCGTTAACTTTTTTTTTACAAAGCTTATACCAACTCACCCTTTCTGTCTGTTTGTCTGGTAAAAATGTTTGTACACGTTATTTCTCCCACAACCAATCTCGGATCAAGCTGAAAATTTTCACAATTATTTCTTGTACCTGACAAAGCAAGAATCCATTAAAAGAAAAAAAAAACAGCAGTGAAGTAGCTATAGGTAATTAATTATTTTGTTCGGTATAGAACAAGGGAAAGAAATCGTACATGAAAGATGTGGTGCTATTAGTTGAATTAGTCCCCTTGAGGAGGCTTGAGCCTTGAGTAAACAATTTTTTTATGCATTTAAAAAGCGATCACCGTAATTCACACGGATAACCACTTCTTCAACCACCCACATTTTTGTTTCTCAACTGGTCCAGACAAGTGATAGCATCATAGTGCATTGAGAAAGCTAAAAACATGAAAAAGCGCTAAACAAACACATTTGGTAAAAATACTTCTAATCGCCAAAATGTATTATTGTTAGTCTAAATCTATTACAAATTTAATCACGTGAATGATCCAAACTAATTGATACAACTACACTTCGTATTAGCATGTAGGTTTTGAATACATTACAGAAAGAAAAAAAAAAAGAGTGACTTGTCTCCTGTTTCTGAAATTCTGTCAAATTGTATCTTCAAAACTTTGCAAAACAAAACAGTTCAACACTTTTCACGACCTATTAATAGAAGCAGACGCCACAGAACTGAACTTACGCTTGAGTTCCTTCCACCAAATGACCACACTGACATATATACGACTGTTTAGTCTCACCAGTAAGGACTTTCTGAAAACGAAATTGGTCGCTGACCAGTGGGTTGACCCCAGCAGATGGCATCAAACTGACCATAGTTTGGAGATGGTAACTAGTTTTTATTATGGGCAGATACTTTGAATACCAAGCTTGTAGTGTGACTAGCACTGTGTATAGAAAGAAAGCAAGAAAATCTCAATAATTTACAAGATAACCTTTTTCATTGTCCTGGATTTCGCGGACATTCCAGCATGCAATTTTGAGAGCCAGTCGCTTTTTTTTTTTTTTTTTTTTTTGTCGAGCTATTTATTCCGCCTGTGAATTTCATTTCATTGTTATAGCACGGCTAGGCCTGTAACCGAATAAAGAACAAGTTCAGCTAAATCTTATTTAAAGGGCCTTAGTTGTAGGCCTACTTCTCAGTTCTGTCAAATAAATACAGGCCTATGCACATAATGCACTGAAGCTCAACTGATGTTTAGTGTGTAAAGACAAGTCAGAACAACCTTTCAGGAGCTCACGTAGTTTGACAATGTTTTTCTTTTGTTGTTCTCCTTCTCAAACTAAAAGTCTAAACTTTCTCAAATCCTGTTGCACTTTAATTGCATTGTTTTAAGAGTTCAAAATTTATCGTAAAAGTAAAAACAATTTCCTTTATTTATGAAAAGTGGGCGTGTCATGAACTGAACAATTCAACAAACTGTAGGCTACGTTTAACAAAATAACTGGATCTAGTAGACAGAGTATTTTATGAAATTTTAGACATTTCTAAGTGTGTGACAGTAAGAAACAGCTTTCTTGGATAAAAGTGTTTGTAAGATAACGGTAGCCTACTAGATCTACATCCGTAGTCAGTGGTCACAGATTGGGGTTATGAATTCAGGTCCCGTGACACTAGATCTAGATCCGTAGTCAGTGGTCACAGAACGTGACAATGTATGAACACAATGAATGTCTCTAAAAAACCTTCAGTTAAACATTATTGGATTTTCTTATACAAAAAATTTCAATGGGAAATAACTCAAATTTAAATTGTAATTTGAAAAGAGGGGAGGGCGCTGCTGAGAAATGTATAATTATTGAAAGAGATGGATCTCTCTTTACACCTATTTAGTAACAATATATCTAAAGATTATCTTTAAGTATTCTATAACTATCTCACATAGGCATAAACATTAAAAATAAAAATCCAGAATAATTTAGATGAGATCTGTAATTAGTATTCATATAATATTTTAGACTAAGCAACATTTTTTAAACAAATATTTTTTGTAAGTACCTAAAACTGGAAGAGTTTATAGACACTGCACCCATCGGGATGAGAAACCAAAAAAAAAAAACAACAACACTAGATCTAGTTAGAGATCTAAAATTTAATTATGTATCTTGGCTTCCATCAACTATACTATAGCGATGAGCACTAACCAGTTTCTCTTGGATTCCCACTAAGATGCGTAAAGTCTTTAGTTTGTTTTGCAATTACGGTTTTCTATATAGAGTTACACAACATGACCAATGCATTATCAACCTGAATCGTACTAATTCGGGGTTCTAGCAAAGTTCATATGTGGCCACACATCACTTGCACTTTAACCTGGCTCCTTTAGTTAACATACATATTGGCATCCATCAATCTTCTGAGTACATTAATAGAGGCTTTAATCAAGCGGTCATTCAGTTCCTGACATTTCTTAGGCAGAATTTTCCTATGCATCAATGATTTTCACGTTGGGCTATGAACATGTGGAAATGCCCCTGCCCTATAGAATCTTGTCGTCGTGTGGTCAGCCTTTCAGTTTTATCGAGACAGTAATGCAGTCTGGCGCTGAAGACGTTTCTTGAACATTAGGCGCTTTCTCCAGAGTTTACTGGAACTTACAACGCATTGCGCAAACTGACAAATGTTTTTTTTTTTTAAGAAACTGGTTTGGAATCACATGTAGAATTCAAGCCCACTCTGTAGTGGCTTCTGTTAGACATTTAGTCTAGCGACGCACCATAGATGAGAGACTTTGAAAGCTACATTCAATGGCGTCTCGGATAGTGGGATTAGGCTAGTTTGTTTATATTATAGAGTTGATATGACTTCAAGGTAATAACATCGATTACTGACTGTGGTCTTTTCGTATTAAACATTTTCCAAGTTATTTGACAGTCTGGACTTAATTTTTCACTTGTAATTGTGATAAAGTTTGTCAGTTACTCCGTACTTGCAAGAATACACCCGTACAAGACACCCAAACATCTTCTGAGTCATTTGTCCAAGTCAGACATCTACAACTGCAAGACAAACCTATTTCACTTATCCCACGAAATATTAGCGCAATGTTGGACCGCTCAATGTCCAGCAGGGATTCATTTTTACGCGTAACTGTAAAGTTTTCAACCGAGAAATTAAAAAAAAAAAATGCGAGTCTCTCCTCATTAAAGAGAATTGTGTGATGATCCCTAGTTGATCCTTACACTGCGACACGGTTAGAAGTCGATTCATTAGTCTCTAGACTTTGTTATTCTATTTCTTCTACACCAAATCTAAGAGAAATGAAAATATGCTTAAGTTAAAAACCATACCAACAATGCAGCAGGATAGTGTACAGAACAAAACAAAAATATTTGAGTCTGACACATGGAGATGATTGTCAAATAGGTATTTTTATATTTGAGACACAATTTTTATAAGACCATTAAATTTTCATCTTTATATAGAAAGCTTTTTATCAAATGTTAAGTCACTCAACCAAGCGTAAGATTTGTTCTGAACTTTGAACAGTTTGAAACTAATTGCTACATTCAATCTATTGTCACTTGGTTCTTCCTGTTTCCGTATCTTGCCTTTTCATGTTTGCTTGGTGATAGTTCACCTTGCACTATTTACAATGGCTGGTGAATGTTTTAAAAAATGGTTTTCAACCTTGTGATGGTAGTTCAGAATGATGTTTATAAATCAAATTTTCAAAGCCTTCATGGTGATACAAAAATGTGTATGTATCATTTTTTTGTTGAGTGTATCATTATTTAGAAGGATTAAATAAACAAAAAAAAATAAACAGTGTAGAAATAAAAATTTAGAAGATAGTCAAAAATTGTTAGTTACCCCCCCCCCCCCCCCCCCCAATTGGTATTCTCATTATTTTCCTAAGATAAAAAAAAATGACATAAATTATAAATTTACATAATGTATAAAGTTAAAACTCTAGGAAAGATAATAATACAATTCAAGTATAATTACTAGAATGCTGACCATGTATTAAAAAAAAATTACTGAACAATAAATTAGTCAAGTATTTACAAGTGGCATAGAAAGAAAGGAAAAATTACAGCCTAATTTCTTCTCAAATATACAGCCAAAGAAATGACCTCAATTCACACAGTTCATAACAAGTTTGGCTCACCGGACATACGAGCAAATATATTCTTCCTTGTTGATGATGTGACACAAAACCCATTATATCTAAACCTGCCCCAGTGTTGCAATTAGGTCTGGTTCAACATATATTTAACAGATTAATGGACAGTACATTTGTTGCTTTTTTAAAGAGTCTGCCATTAAGTATTGATTGTCTTGTAGTGTATGGAATGATTAAGCCTAGTGGGTGCATTGATAGCTTTCCTTTAGACATAATGATAAAGAATACATAAAACCAAATTGAAGTCTCAGTTTTAAAGTCTTGTAAACAAGTATACATGTACATCAACTTTCATAGCATTTTGCACTCACAAAAAATGGATGAAAACAAATGCTCTATCCATCACAATGATTCAACAAAAATATCAGTAACATCCTAGGAGGGTCACCCATACAAGTGGCAGTAGAAAAATCTGAAAAGCTCCCTTATGTGCTGAGCTCTGATTCCCAGGATTAACTATTTTCTAGCCTGGATCTTTTCATACAGAAAGTGTGGTCAGAAAGTCTTTCATCTCTATTTAGATAAGGTCAAGCTTTCTGTAGTCCTCAAGTCTTTTAGATAATTACATTAAAAAAAAAAAAATCAAATTGGCAGCATTGAAATAGGTTATTCCTAAATGTACTTTGCTATCAAGATGTCAAGTTTGACTATGAGCCTAGGCTAAAGGAGAGCAGCACTGAGGTGGTGTCCCACACTGACCATGATAAGTGAGCAGCTCCCCAATTTTAACTTTAATTGTGTTGATCTCATCTTTTACCAGACAGCCATTTGACTTAGTCAAATCCAAAGAAACATACTCTTTCAAAAGGGAACCAAGAGTCAACTTATCTTGAGAAGAGGAACCACTTGACTCCTCTACTTGTGCAGCAGAGTCTGAGAGGCTTGGAGGTAAGTTGACAGCCATGTGTGGCCATACCTGCAGGAACAGAGTGGCGGCATGTTCTGGGCGGATTGTCAATGCTCCCTCGCAATCTGTGCAGTCCTTCAAGTTCCCAGATTCCTTCAGGACAACTTCATTCCTGAGTTTCCTGTAAGCTGTACACTTGTCCTGAACCTCTTGGGAACAACATGCAGTCTCATTGGATAGCTTTGTCTGTACCAGTGCTACATCAGGGGAGTCAGCCTCACAGCTTAAACCATCCATCTGAATGAAGCTTAAAAATTCAGACTTATTCTCTAGCTTCTCTTTTATGAAAAACTCTTTCACTGCTTTGAAAGTGTCCAGCGACTCCAGTTCTGTTATCAGATTCTTGATCAGGCAGGTGACTTTCTCTTCTCCTTTCCCCATCTGTGGACAGTGGACTGTGAAACTATCACCGCTAACCTTGTTCACTTCGTAGGGCAGGGTCAGCCCAAAGAAGGCAACAGACAAAAACTTCTTACATTTGAGATCTCGCAGGTGTGATAAAGCCATCTGTATAACCTCTTTTTGATCTGTTGACGTCTGTGTATTCAGATACCTGGTGAGGAGAAAAACAAACATAAACTGCAAGTTCCATTAACAAACAACATTATATTCTTTATAAAGTTCCAAATATTCTGTCCACTTCAATGTAATGATGATTGCTATAGCTTTAGGCTACATCCTTTGTGACATAATACTGGAGTCTCCCCACCTCCTCATTGTCATGAACTCCTGAAACACTTTCTCAGGAAAAGCATGGATAAGTTATTTCTTTTCTTTGCTAATAACAATATACCTTGTACTCTAGTTAGTTACTAAAATTTTGCAAACATTACTGTAATTCTGTGGAAATTCTGAGAATGGAGACTCTGTAATCTATAAACTCACAGTTCATAAGTGATGGAGAGGTGTTGGGCTTTACAGGTCAAGAGGCTCAGAAGGAACAAAAAGTGGAGGAAGAATGAATAAGGAAGCAACAAAGGGGGAGGAACACATCAAGAAGGAGGAGGAATGATGGAAAGAAAGAGAGGCCATGGACGCTAAAAAGAGACAAAATGAAAAAGAATAAAAGAGAGAATAGCAGAAAAAGAAGTATTGAAAGGTGCCGTCACGTCTAAGAAAGAATTTGATGTCAATGTAAGAAATGAAAATCATAGGATTTTTATTGAGAAATTGGATATGATCATTTAAAACATGAAAGAGTATGAGGATTTGATTTGGTTTCCTGATGTTAGTTGAAGCAGTTGCTACAAGAGACAGACTTGAGGAACTGGACATTGGTCATCAAACTAAAAAATTTCATATTGTGAGACATCGTGTTTAACAATGAAAATTCAATTCTTAGATATTTACTTTATGGATTGGGCCAAGTGACTTTAATTGGGCACCCCCCCCCCCCCCACCTCTGCAGCTATGCTTGTGCATTTTAATCATTTTATTCAGAGTTGATGTTTTAATATAACACTTTGTGAAGTCTAGTCATTAAGTTTCAAATATCTATTCACTTTTGTTAGATATTTGTATCAAGCAAATCTATGTATGTAGAGGCTGGTGAAATGTGTTGATTAAATGAAGTGTAGCTTATCTGTCTGTGAATGAACAGCACCTGTACACTAAGTAAGATGAAGTTTGGACTGTCATATAAACAACACACAATCATACATCAACATCATTCAGCTACTTTCTGGAATATTGTTGACCAAAAAGACAAAAGGAAAAACTTTTATGTAATGAGCATGAGCTTCCATGACTACTACATGTTATCAGGTGTAGATCATTACATTTTGATGATTACATATTTTTTCCAGGATTTTTTTGGTACAAGAGTCTTATTTTGTAATAATAAAAATAATTATTTTGTTTCTTGGTAGTGTAAAAGAATATCAATCAATATTTTCATGCATGCTGGTGGGAGACTTGACTAAGGGAAGGTTCAAAAGTCATTTTTTAAAGTTTGCATCTTTTACTCTAAACCCTTGTCAAACACTACTTTGTAGAAACTGAACATGGAATATCCCCAGGCATTTAAAAAAAAGTTGACAATTAAAGTATGACTAACATACTGGTAGTATTTATCTTATAATGTGTGCAATACACACAAAAAAACAACATTATAACTGTAGAAAACCAAAATATACATTCACACCAGAGCCACTGATAATTTACGTGTGTGAAATGTTGATATCAGATAGCTGAATTGTATTTAATGATTGCCAAGGGGGTGGGGGTGGGGACAGGGCTAGGTCTTTTGTGATGGTAAAATTAAAAAAATCCTGACAAATGGTGATTTTTTATTGCTAAAATTTTTTTAATAGCTTTCTTATGAATGTTTTTAAACACCTTTACAAATGGGGTTTGTTTTTTGCCAAAGAACTTACCAGTAGCAATTAGGATTCTATGAAGTTTATTTTTAATGCTCAGATTGCCATACCAGGCAGTGATATTAATAAAATCTAAAGAGCACTAAAATCCTACTAGATCCGATCTACAGAAAACTAGATCATACTTAGCCCAGTCTTTGGCAAACTGTAGAATCCTTGCACTACATTTATCTTTCTCTATAGTCAATGCTGGGGATGGTCTGAACAGGAGTAAGCTGGGTTGATTCTTGGCACTAGACAAGATTGCATACCCTCTGGATCTACCTAGATTGTAGTATAAAAAAAGACTTAAAAAGACTCAAATACACAAAACAACTGGAGGCCTTTCTTGTGATTCAGTGTTTTGAAATACATGGTAGTGCAGAGTTTTGTTTTATGTTCAATAACAAAGGAAGAGAAGGGATATACCCTAGTTTGCTTGCGGTGGACACAAAGGTAACCCAAACAGAGTGTGTGTGTGTGTCTGATTGAGAAAGAAGAGAGAGGTATCAATCAGCCAGTCTTTGTTTCACTCAAGCTAGGCCACTCAAAGCCAACCATAAAACTTGGCCATACATACTGCAATGTTAGAAAATGATACATAACAGTGTGTTGAAGGTTGGTAATACCACAAGAAAATCAGTGGATGAAAAAAGACATACTAAGCATAAGAAATTTTCTATGTTTATTCAAATTCACAAGAGGGGGGCATAACAGACTTAGGATTAACCACTTTTTAAAAATAAGGATAAAGGAGATTAATAAAGTAGAAAAATGTCACGCGCAAGTTTGAACTATAAAAGGAATCTAATTTTTATTTTTTAAAATAATGCTTTGGTTCAATATTAACTTTTAAATTGAATCAAATGTAAATCAAGTTTTTTTTAAAAATAGTTTAAAGACCAACTGAAGAGGTTTTTTTCGAAATCGAGATAGTAATTGATTTAGATAGTAGATAGCATCAAATTTAGTTCCTAAAATTTTGAGATTTTAGAAAAGCGTATTTATACTAGAAAAAGTAATTTGAAAGTGTAAAAAATAACGAGATTTGAAAATCAGCTTCAATGGCCGAAAGCGGAAGTGACGTCTTGTAATGGACTGAGAAAATGTAAATAAAAATAGACATGGCTGGATACGTTATTGATAGCGATTCAGATGATATATCTACTTCTCTAAATCTAGCTGTCAAACAATTTTAAATGATACTTATCATTGGATGCACCAAAATGCCCTAAAGATCTCTTCTACTTTTTCAAAATATATTATAGAGCAGACTATTTAATTAATATATAAGTATAGATAGATTAATCATTAATAGGTAGGACTAGCTAGGTAGTAGGACTAGTCACTAGAGTAGAGTATTATTATACTTATAGATAGAGGCTCAGTACAGTAGACTGATTAGAGTCACTAGATCTATCATCTAGGACTAGTTATACT